AGATTGTAAATTTCGAATAGTAAAACATATTCTTTTTTCGGGTCTTATACACTTTGGCTCAAAGAGTTGATCCTGATGAGATCAATATGGATCATGGAATTATTAACGTTTCATTTTTTGTCTATGAAGTTTTTTGTCGCAAACATATAACCGAAAAGTATGATTGTAAGCCAATCAAAATTAAATGGAACAATTTAGAACCGATTTCCATTTTTGACAATGTGCCTGACTGAAGTAACGTTGAACAAATAACAAACGAAGCACTTATACAACTAATAAAGGGAATTTTTAACATCTAGAAAAAACAAAAAAAATTATTAAGACAGCTATTCTAAGCTGTAGAAAGAAATGCTGTTGACATATTTGGGTATTTAAGGATTGGTTCGTCATTGTTTGATTGGTTTAACTGTCAAGGATGAATTCGGAAGCAAATTTTCAAAAAAATGGCCGTTTTGACTTACTTTTTGCCTATAACGAAATGCATAAGCCGTAATTTTCTGCGTACTTATTTAGAAGTACAAGGTTATTTAAGAGTTAATGAAAATTTGCATCGTACTAAATTTTGTACACAAAATTTTTGATAATCCACAATTATAATTGGTTGATTTTAGGGTCCAAACAATCGTGCCGATATGACATTTTTCTATATAAGCGTATAGTGCTAAGAAAATTTTCATTTTTTAACATTGAACTTTTTATAATTTTATAATTTTTTTTTCATTAAAAACAAAATATATATATAGTTTAATTAATATGAATCTCCAAACTTTTAATCTTTTTCTAATTGTTTCAATTTTGCTTGCATTAACTATTATTGTTGATGCTCGCTTCAACAAACACATTAACAAACATAAAAATATTAACAAACCTATTAATAATCATGATGCTATTACGCCTACAAAAACTAAATGCTCAACTCCAACTCCAACTCCAACGTGTTGTCAATCACGTTACAGTCCAGGGTGGAGTGATGAGATTATTCAGCTTGTCGTCTATAATAATAATAATATTCCTGGAACGGCTCAGGACTGTTGTAACTTTTGCACTACAAATTCGAATTGCCTTGCATGGTGGTACATTTCTAATTCATGTTTTACAGCCAGCACTGACCAGAATAATTCTTGTTCAAATTCCCGCGTTAATGCAAGCGCTTCAAACTTTGAAGGTGGTATTGATCGTTGTAGTGATAGCATTCAATGCTAATTTATATTATTTTTTTATACATTTAAAGTTATTTGCAGAAAATGTCTCATATCTGAATATTTAACAATTACCATTATTTTTTTATTGTTTTGTTTATCTTTTTCTATTTAATTACGGATTCGAGAACATATAATTTAGAAGTTATTAAAAATTTACAATTTTATTTTTGATAGAACTTTAAATATCTTTTAAGTGTAGTTAACTTCTAATTATGGTTATGTTTGTTTTGAAAGGTGACATCGTTTTATTTTATTGTAGCAATTTTTAGTATGTAATTGAAAAGGAAATAACCGACCAAAGCTTATCTTCAATAAAGATAATTTAGAGTTCAACATTGAAGAAGTATTTGCTCTATTAAATCTCTCCCTCAACACGTATAAGTCTTTCCTGTGATCCCGAATTAGCAAATCGAAAATGTGTACCAGGTTGTGCTCCGGATGATCATGTGGTTGCCCGGAAAACAAACCAAACGATCTAACAATCATTAATGATATCATCAATTAATTAATAAATAAACTATTGCTATTATACTAATAGTAACTAGAAGATGCAGATGTGGGCGGCTTCGCCGCCCAGTCAGAGTTGTTGTAGCTAAAGATAGTAAATGTTTTAAATATAATAGTTTAAATTAGTTTTAAATTACTTTAAAATGGTTTTTTGTTCGTTTTAAAACAATTATATAATTATTATTAATATATCATTATTATGCGTAATTAATATTACAATATTACTAGCATAAGAACCCATGGTTCGCATGGAGTACACAAATTTTAATATAATCTAACAAAACTTTATATTTATAATGCCAAAAATATTAATTATTTATTATAGCTGCTTTCAAATTAATGTATCCAGCTAATTTTATGATTAATAAATCATCTTTATACCCACGCACTATTCGAAGGGTATTAAATAATTAATTGTAAATAAGTATTTAAATTAAGTACTGGTATTTATAAATAAGTATTTTACGATTTTAATTCTACTGATTGATGTTAACAAATCATCTTTATACTCACGGGCTAAATTAATGTAAACAAAAGAAATGATTTGAAGGGTATTAGGTAATTTATTGTTAATAAGTATTTAGTGATAAATATTTAAGAATAAGTATTTATGTTCATATCTTTAATTTCACTGATCAACATTAATAAATCATATATATACTTACAGGCTAAATTAACGCGAACAAAAGAAATGATTTGAAGGGTATTAGGTAATCAATCGTAAATAAATATTTAGTGATAAGTATTTATGAATAAGTATTTATGTTCATAATTTTAACAAAAATGATTAACGTTAATAAATCATCTTTATACTCACAGACTATTTGAAGGGTATTAGGTAATTAATCGTAAAGAAGTATCTAGAGATAAGTATTTACGAATAAGTATTTATGTTCATAATTTTAACGAAACTAATTAATGTTAATAAATTATCTTTATACTCACAGACTATTTGAAAGATATTAGGTAATCAATTGTAAAGAAGTATCTAGAGATAAGTATTTACGAATAAGTATTTATGTTCATAATTTTAACGAAACTGATTAATGTTAATAAATCATTTTTATACTTACCCACTATCTGAAGGGTATTAAGTAACTAATTGTAAATAAGTATTTATTGATAAGTATTTATGAAGAAGTGTTTATGTTCATGAGTTTAATTATACTGATTAACCATCTTAATACTCGAACACTATTTGAAGAGTATTAGATAATTAATCGTAAACAAGTATCTAGAAATAAATAGATATGAATAAGTATTTTATGTTCATAATCTTAATGAAAATAATTAATGTCAATAAGTCATCTTTATACTTACTAACTGAAACGATTTGAAGAGTATTAGATAAATAATTAATTGTAAATAAGTATTTAGTGATAAATATATATTTTCACGATTTTAATGAAACTAATTAACGTTAATAAATTATCTTTATACTTACGGACTAAATTAATTTGAACGAAATTTGAAGGGTATTAGGTAATTAATCAATTGTAAATAACAGATAAGTATTCAGAGTTAAGTATTTATGAATAAGTATTTATGTTCACGATTTTAATGAAACCGATTAACATTAATAAATCATCTTTATACTCACCCACTATTTGAAGATATTAGATATTCAATTGTAAATAAGTATTTAGAGATAAGTATTTATGAATAAGTATTTATGTTCATGATTTTAAATTCACTGATTAATGTTAATAAATCATCTTTATACTCACTCACTATTTGAAAAGTATTAGGTAACTAATCGTAAATAAGTATTTAGAGATAAGTATTTATGAATAAATGTTTATGTTCATGACTTTAATTATACTAATTAACCATCTTAATACTCGAACACTATTTGAAGAGTATTAGGTAATTAATCATAAATAAGTATTTAAAGATAAATAGATACGAATAAGTATTTATGTTCATAATTTTAATGAAGATAACCAATGTCAATAAGTCATCTTTATGTTCGCTAACTGAAATGATTTGAAGGGTATTAGGTAATCAATTAATTGTAAATAAGTATTTAGTAATAAATATATACTGTATGTTCATGATTTTAATGAAACCAACTAATGTTAATAAGTTATCTTCATACTCACGGACTAAATTAATTTGAATGAAATGATTTGAAGGGTATTAGGTAATTAATTAATTGTAAATAAGTATTTAGAGTCAAGTATTTATGAATAAGTATTTATGTTCATAATTTTAACAAAAATGATTAACGCTAATAAATCATCTTTATACTCACAGACTATTTGAAGGGTATTAGGTAATTAATCGTAAAGAAGTATTTAGAGATAAGTATTTATGTTCATAATTTTAACAAAACTGATTAACGTTAATAAATCTTCTTTATACTCACCCACTATTTAAAGGGTATTAGGTAACTAATCGTAAATAAGTATTTAGTAATAAGTATTTATGAATAAGTGTTTATGTTCATGACTTTAATTATATTAATTAACCATCTAAATACTCATATACTATTTGAAGAGTATTAGGTAATTAATCGTAAATAAGTATTTAGAGATAAATAGATATTAATAAGTATTTATGTTTATAATTTTAATGAAAACAATTAATGTTAATAAGTCATCTTTATACTCACTAACTGAAATGATCGGAAAGGTATTAGGTAATCAATTAATTGTAAATAAGTATTTAGTGATAAATATATATGTTCATGATTTTAATGAAACCAATTAATGTTAATAAATTATCTTCATACTCACGGACTAAATTAATTTGAATGAAATTATTTGAAGGGTATTAGGTAATTAATTAATTGTAAATAAGTATTTAGAGTTAAGTATTTATGAATAAGTATTTATGTTCATAATTTTAACAAAAATGATTAACGTTAATAAATCATCGTTATACTCACAGACTATTTGAAGGGTATTAGGTAATTAATCGTAAAGAAGTATTTAGAGATAAGTATTTATGTTCATAATTTAACAAAACCGATTAACGTTAATAAATCTTCTTTATACTTACCCACTATTTAAAGGGTATTAGGTGACTAATCGTAAATAAGTATTTAGTAATAAGTATTTATGAATAAGTGTTTATGTTCATGACTTTAATTATACTAATTAACCATCTAAATACTCATACACCATTTGAAGAGTATTAGGTAATTAATCGTAAATAAGTATTTAGAGATAAATAGATATTAATAAGTATTTATGTTCATAATTTTAATGAAAATAATTAATGTTAATAAGTCATCTTTATACTCACTAACTGAAATGATTTGAAGAGTATTAGGTAATCAATTAATTGTAAATAAGTATTTAGTGATAAATATATATATTTATGATTTTAATGAAACTAATTAACGTTAATAAATTATCTCCATACTCACGGACTAAATTAATTTGAATGAAATGATTTGAAGGGTATTAGATAATTAATTAATTGTAAATAAGTATTTAGAGTTAAGTATTTATGAATAAGTATTTATGTTCACAATGAAGCCGATTAACATTAATAAATCATCTTTATACTCACCCACTATTTGAAGGGTATTAGGTAATCAATTGTAAATAAGTATTTAGAGATAAGTATTTATGAATAAGTATTTATGTTTATGATTTTAACGAAACTGATTAACGTTAATAAATCTTCTTTATACTCATCCACTATTTGAAGGGTATTAGGTAGCTAATCGTAAATAAGTATTTAGTGATAAGTATTTATGAATAAGTGTTTATGTTCATGAGTTTAATTATACTTATTAACCATCTTAATACTCGCACACTATTTGAAGAGTATTCGGTAATTAATCATAAATAAGTATTTAGAGATAAATAGATACGAATAAGTATTTATGTTCATAATTTTAATGAAAATAACCAATTTTAATAAGTCATCTTTATACTCACTAACTGAAATTATTTGAAGGGCATTAGGTAATCAATTGTAAATAAGTATTTAGCGATAAATATATATGTTCATGATTTTAATGAAACTAATTAATGTTAATAAATTATCTCTATACTCACGAACTAAATTAATTTGAATGAAATGATTTGAAGGGTATTAGGTAATTAATTAATTGTAAATAAGTATTTAGAGTTAAGTATTTATGAACAAGTATTTATGTTCATAATTTAATGAAACCGATTAACATTAATAAATCATTTTTATACTCACCCACTATTCGAAAGTATTAGGTAATACAAAGTATACTACTGTTAAAGTTTCTTTTGGAGAAAAAAAGGAATTCTTTCGTAATCTTATTATCTGGCATGAAACAATTTCTAATGACAAAGATTACAATAACTTGTATGATACATCAGAAACTTTGAAAAAAACTTTAAGTGAACTTGACAAGTGGCTAATCGTTTCAAAATCATTAATGAATGATGATTATTTGAAAAAGTTTAGTGATAAATCTCAGAAATTTATCAACATGGCTTATATATATGAAGATGATATAATTGATTATCTACACAAAGAGTATTGTGCGGAATCTAAAAAAAT